CGAGCCGAGCGAACGATGAAACCGTGTTTAGCGCGTTTTGCTATCGACAGAAAAAAAAAGTGGCATAGGAAAGGGCGAGGAAAAGGGGGTGAGGAGAGTCCCTTCCGCTTTCGACTGAAACATTTTTGTTATTTAATCGAAGTGCAACCTGCCTATGTGCGCGCGCGCGCGCGCGTGTGTGTACCAGATATGTCGGTAATTACTTTCCGGTTTTTGTAACAGATGTCACTAGCCATAAGTATGCAATGTTATGATTTGATACATATGTCATTTTATTCTACTGACATTAACCTCAAAACTACACAAGTTACGTTCCGCCAAAATAATAGCGTTATAGATTAATAACTTTTTGAAAATGTCGAGTTTTGTGCCTGAAAACGTGCATTTGCGGCACGCATTACTTTTCTTGTTTAATCAAAGGGAAAAAGCCGCTGAAAGTCATCGTTTGCTGGTAGAGACTTACGGTGAGCATGCTCCAACCATAAGAACATGTGAAACGTGGTTTCGACAATTCAAATGTAGTGATCTCAACGTTCAAGACAAAAAACGTCCTGGTAGGCCGAAAACGTTTGAAGATGCGGAATTGCAGGAGTTATTGGATGAAGACCCAACACAAACTCACAAACAATTGGCAGAAAAGTTGAATGTGAGCCGAGTAGCAATTTGTGAACGATTACAAGCGATGGGAAAGATCCAAAAAAGATGGGAAGATGGGTGCCACATGAATTGAATGACAGGCAATTGGAAAATCGAAAAATCGTCAGTGAAATGCTGCTTCAAAGGTATGAAAGGAAGTAATTTCTGCATCGAATAGTAACGGGTGATGAAAAATTGATTTATTTCGAAAATCCCAAGCGAAAAAAAATCATGGTTATCATCTGGCGAAGGCGGCCCATCGACTGCAAGGCCAAATCGCTTTGGTCGCAAGACCATGCTCTGTGTCTGGTGGGACCAGGTTGGTGTCGTATATTATGAACTGTTGAAACCTGGAGAAACAGTTAATACTGATCGCTACCAACAACAAATGATCAATTTGAACTGTGCATTGATCGAAAAACGTCCACAATACGCTCAAAGACATGATAAGGTGATTTTGCAGCATGACAACGCGCCGTCTCATACAGCAAAACCAGAAGTGTTGAAAGAAGTGTTGAAATCACTTGGATGGGAAGTTTTATCGCACCCGCCGTACTCTCCAGACCTGGCTCCATCCGACTACCACCTTTTCGCATCGATGGGGCACGCGCTTGCAGAGCAGTACTTCGCCGATTTCGAAGAAGTTAAAAAATGGCTCGATGAATGTTTAGCTCAAAGGAGAAACAGTTCCTTTGGAATGGCATCCATAAATTGCCTGAGAGATGGGCAAAATGTATAGAATCAAATGGCCAATACTTTGAATAAATATATTTTAACTATGCATTGTTGCAACTATGTAAATAACGTGTTTTCTTTAGCGAAAAACCGGAAAGGAATTACCGACACACCTGGTATGTGTGTGCTTTTACTTCAAACGTTCCAAACGAAAAATTAATCGCCGCGAATTTGCGTAAATATTCGGTTGCGCGAAATTGCGAAAGCCAACCCCCCTCTTCGCGCCTCGAGGATTTGCGAAAGCGATTCTCGCGCTTCGAACAAACTGCACGCGCGCGCGCGCGCGTGCGCGGATCGCGTGCGACGTGCTCACGAGCCATCGGAAATTAAATTGCCGCATCGAATTATCGACGAATCACTTGCCGTGTAACTGCGAATTAAATAGTCCAGCTTTCCGCGCTGTCAACGACACGCCCGTCAGGAAGGGGTTAATAACGATGTGCGCCCTTAAATCGACTCACTCTCTTCCTCTCCCGGTCTCTATCTCTCGCTCTCTCTTTCTCACACACATACACGGAACTATTCCACGGAGCACTCCATCGCCTACATGTGTGTGTGTCCGAAACATGACGACAAAGTGAACGGCTTCGGGTCGACGTCGGTCGCTGCAATTATAACGCGCTCACTCGCTCATGCGCTCGCTTACGCGCGCCGCGCGACCTTTCATTTCCGCCGAAACCGCGTGCGGTGACACCTTCCTTTCGTCGGGCGCTCGCACCGACGCTTTTGCCGGATTACTTGCGGCTGATTAAATCCGCAAGCGGTTAATGCAACATCAAAGAATATCGGAGATTCCGGACCGATGCTCGCTGATGGACGAGCCGGCGAGATAGACGCGCGTACACGATGCTATCAGCGAGCGATGCGAGTGCGCGCGCGCGTCTCTGGAAAATTCACTATTTCCTTCGTCTCTCGTTCGCTCGGAAAAAAAGAAAAAAAAACAGAAAAATCGATCCGTTCGGCAAAGCAGTCCCGCGTCAATTCACACTGAAATGGCGCCCGCCGCTGGTGCTTAATACGCAAAAAATCTTTCATTTCCGAACGGACCGCGCACTTGCACTCCCCTCCCACCTGATTCATAATTCCGTTCCGATCGGCTCTTTCTGTCGTGTGTTCTTTCTTTAATTTTCTCGAAAAATTTATCTCTTAAACCTCAACGGAAGCCGCGCGCACGGCGCGTCGCATCGCGGCGCGCGACGGATTTTCTCGAACGTTGAAAGAGTCAGACGGAAGAAGAAACTGGGAAAATGCAACATAACATAACATCGAAGAAAAAGAAGAAGCGGGAGGGAGACTGAGCAAAAGTACGGAGTATAATTCTACTTAACAACGCAACATCGAAAAGAACAAGATAAAAATCAGACATAACAAGGGGAAATAAATAAATGCGCAGTAGAAGTTAGCGCGGTAGAAATTAGCGAGCCCGGCATGTTCGCTCGAGAGATCGTTATCCGCACCATTATGCGCCTTATTATTTCGCTCTTCGGAGCACTTGATGAAATGTCCGCTCAGTCATGCCGTCGTACTTATTCACACCTCCTTGACTAATCTGCTCGACGAGCGAGCCTCGCTCTTCTCAGATCAGACTCAGATCAGCACTTTCAACGGAGGACCGGTCGAGAAAGATAATTATGAGGTAAGGCCGCGGTCTAAATAATAAAGATTGCGCTAACCACACCTCTCCCCCGGGTGTATATCGCGAAACTACTTCCGAATTAGCGTGGCTCGACCCGACGTCGCCGTCGCGAGACGCCGTTATTTTATTTATAATATAACTACGCTGTAGCTTCTCGCTCTCCTAATTATCCTCCTCTCCTTTTCTCCGTTCTCTCGACCATCTCTGGCTTGAGAATTTAAGCGAATACCTCTGGAACCGGAAGGACGCGAGCGCCCCGACGGCGCGCCGCCTCGTAATAGACGCACCCGCGGGATTGTTTTACCCCGCGGTGATTCTTAGCAGACGCGATTTATACATCCGCGGTGGCAATTCCTCGCGATACCACACGTGGGAGAAGAGAGAGAGAGAGAGAGAGAGAGAGAGAGAGAGAGAGAGAAAGAGGGAAGAGCTTTGTGTTGGCTGGACAAACAGCTCCGGTCTATCGCCTTGAGCCCGTCGTGCGCAAACAACCAAGAACGTCCGGCTGTGCGCGAAATACCGGTTAAGTACCGTAAAATATGTATCGCTGCTGCTGACGCGTTGAAAGTGTGAGAGAAGGAGAGAAAAAGAGGAGGGGGGGGGGGGAAGAGAGTGAAATTTCCGCGGATGAATTTTAATCCTCTCCACACCGTCACTCCCACCGCGCTCCCATGATGCCCACAACTCGTATACGCTTCTAATTTTTTGGGGATAAAAATTTTATGACTCGACAGCAGCGCTCTTCTTCCTTTTCCCCCACCCTCTCTCTCTCTCTCTCGGCGGTAGTGAGATAAGAGTCTCTCAAACAAAAGTAAATTGCGGTTTGACCGAAATCCGCGATATTATGATAACGATTTCGCGACGGTGCGGGCGGAAGAGAGGCGGGAGTTAAACTCCATCGGCTTTAATTATCAGTCCTTGCCCGGAGAGGGAGTTCAATTAGCGGGGGAACGACGAAGGTATTTCCTCTCCCGCTCTCGCTGGAACGCCGCATTTGGCGCGGCTGCCAAATCGCCGGCGAAATACGGACTCGATTTAATTTAAAATTTAATTCCATGCGTTATTTTCCGTGCCACGCGCAAGCAGGCGCGCGCGCGCGCGCGCATTCGTGCGCGCCGCAAACGTTTGAAATGCCGAAATCCGTTGGTGAAACGTACCAACGGATCGTTGGCAAATTTCGCGAGACGCACGCGCCGGAGCGTTTTGCACGTTACGCGATATTGTCGCGTGTCCTTATACGATAATCATCGTGACTACGCGGAGAACAGGTTTCGCGAAGTAAATATCCGCGAATGCGAGGGGGGGTGGGACTTTGTATTTACGAGAGCAAAATACCATTCGTGCGAGAGGAGGACGAGTCAAAAGTCGCGCGTCACGAAAGATAATAGATATGTACGAAAATGATTTATGAGGAGCGAAATGACTGAAATAATTTATCACCCCGATAAAAATCCCCTTTTCGCTGCATTCGCGTTTACTTATGCACACGGGCGAGTTAACATTAGAACCACCAGAGCAGCAAGAACGAGCGGCTTTTAATTTCTCATAGAAATTACTCCAACTTTCATGCAACGACCTGTTTTATATTTCTAATTAACACTGGAGCTACCGAAGCGGTCGAAACACACCGGTTTGTAATTTCTTCCGTCAGAATTACTCGGATTTATATGACGATGCATTCTTTATTTTGACCGAACGTGAAATAAAACTGTAAGAAATAAATAAACACTTTTCGCCGCTGAACGACGTATTTTTTCAAGAACCGCTTGTTATTTCGAAACACGCCGGTAGAAATGGGTTCGTCGGTAGTTCCACCGCTAAAAATGACCATTTAGAGAAACTCTCGCGGTGCGCAAGGTACAAGCCTGCGGTCGGACATTGTCAAAGGTAAATTACTCTCCACGGCGGCGCGCGTGACTTTTGACCAGTCCTGTAGCGCAGGCATGCTTCCGCCTGCGCGCTTTTGCCACCGGACGGGCGCTTTTGTGCTTACCGTTAAGCTTCACTCTCCTTCGCGCAATCCAATATCCAAGAGAAAACGGGGCAGCGGAGAGGGCAAGGAGAGAGAGAGAGAGAGAGAGAGAGAGAAAGATTCCGTTCCGCTCGCCGTCTCGATCAATTAACTGCATCCAATCTGCAAGAAGAAACGAAGAACGTTTGGGTGAAAAAAAGCCGCGTCTCGCGCCTGTTCGCTAATTATTTGGCCATTAATCCGCGCCGGTCCGGCCGAGCTTAAACGGTGCCGCGGCCGCGCGAGCGATGATTAATCGCCGCCGCGCGGCCGCGGCATCGACGTTTATTTTCCCGGCTCCATTTTCGCCGGATAAAAATCATATCTCGCGTGCCGCGCGTCTCCTCCTCTTCCCCGCTCGCTCACAAACGAGGTGTATCGCATTTACGAGGACCGGCGTACCTTCAACACGTTTTTCGTCAGACGGCTTTTCTAAATGGCGTCTGCGAACGAGCAGGCGAGCGAGCGAGTGAACAGGCTTTCCTGCTGCAGGCCGGAAGTGGTAATCGAATCTCTTTTTTAACGGAGACACGCTTTCACACGAGCGCTCGTGTGACGTTTCACGTGCGCTCCGTGGACGCTATTAATGCGATGTCATTCATTCATGCATTCATTCATTCATTCGTCCGTCCGTTCGCTCGTTGGTTCGTTTGCTCGACGTAATTACGCGTGCACGCGCTTCGTGCTCCGAGAAGAGAGTAGGAGGGAGAAAAAGAGGTAGAGGGAGAGAGAGAGAGAGAGAGAGAGAGAGAGAGAGAGAGAGAGAGAGAGAGAGACAGAGAGAGATTCTCTCCGCGCGAAGAGCCTGATAAATAAGTCTTCTCACAGCAACGAATCAAGTTTACCTCGTAAACTTCCTCCACCTCCTCCTCCTCCTCCTGCTGCCCCTTCTTCCGCACTAAAGGTATCGGTATCTCTCCGCTATAACGAATTTCGTTCAAGGCGCACTTCGTGAGAATTTTCCGCGCGAGATTCTAAAGTTACGACCCTTTCGGTTGCACTAGCCGAAAGTACTTCTCGTTAAGTATTCATTAGTGAAGTAGCTATCGCTTATTACCGCCGATAAAAGGGTAACAATGATAATTATTATTATTCATCGGCCGGGAAAGAGATGACGATTAGTGACAATTGTACCATCAAAAATGTAAAAGCGAGAGAAATAAATTTTCCAGATGTGTTCGAGCGACCGCCGACCGCCGCCGAGCGCGTTTTCGGACGCAGTCTATGGCGGTCTACGGCGGACGAGAGATCTGCCCCTGCATTTTCGCTTATCTACTTTATGCATTAACCGTCAAGTTTCATCCTCGGACTGGGAAGAGACGGATGTCCGAACACGTTTTCCCTGGTGACATGTCGTTGCGGATAATTCTCCGAATAGGAGCTGCGATTCGGCGCGCCGGCCTCTTTGCTGGCGTCCGTCACCGTCGTTGCTTGTCGCGCGACCGCGCGTTGTCCCTCGCCGGCAAATATTCCGGATTTGTCACGTTCTCCCGCGCTACGGGAGAATTCTCGCGTGTTTCGCGTCTAATCGTCACCGTCGGGAAATTACATTGAGTTTCCCCGGTTGCCGGGCTCGTAATTTACGCCGGCACAGAGTACACGACATTCCGCGCGACCCTTTACGACTGTGCGCGCCGTCCATTGAATGTCAGACAAGAGAAAGAGAGAATGCGCCAGACTGAGAAACAGAATAATATAGAGAACGAGAGAGAGAGAGAGAGAGTCAAGCTCCTCGACCCAGAAATAACCCCCCCCCCTCCGACCCCAATTATTACGTGCTCCCTACCAGTGGCTTAGAAGGCCAAACGCGCGCGCTTCGCACCCTTAACTTTTCCGATTCCTCTCCTTAAATCATCCTCTGTAAGAGCCCGACAGGGCGAGATAGAAGGATAGATATAGAGAAGTGAGTTGGAGATGCACACCGCGCTCTCGAGATACCGCCCGTTCTCCACCTTCCTCGGATCGGAGCGCTGTTTTTTTTCCTTCGGAAACGTTCTATATTTAAGAGTAAATGTTTAGAACGTGTTTGCGGTTGTGGATAAAGTGCGCCCCGATATCGGCGCTCGGCTCCGGCAGGAATTCCCCGACGTTTCGAGTGACGGTCTCGAGGCGTCTCGGGTAAAACTACCCTCTCAAGCCCGAAAGTCGCACTAGATAGTTCGAGGAGAGCGGCGGAGATCCGGCGGCTTGATCAAAGGCCGCAACGCCATGTCGTCATCGGAAAGATTGCGAAAAAGGTGAAATCCGCTTCGGCAGACGAAATGAAACATTTGGACAGAGCGGAGAGACAGACAGACAGAGAGAGAGAGAGAGAGAGAGAGAGGGAGGGCGACAGAGATAGAGAAGAAGGTAGAAAAAGCGAAGCTACTTTTAGAAACGGGGAAACACATCTCGCCCTGCAGCGGATTAATCTTTAAAGCGGACTCGCGCGCGGTAACATATATGAAGCGAAGGTACGCGCGACATTTAATCCCGGAATGCAAACGCATGTAAATTTCATGCGTATCATTTTCAAAAGTCAACCGGACGAACCGAGCCAATCTTTTAAAAGCGTTTCGCTGTTATTTCGCAGCGAAACGCGTGTACCGTCATCGTATCGCCGCGTTCATTTCGCGTTAACCTTCCTCCCCCGCCCGTCAACCGCCTCCGTCTCCCATCAAACCATCCCACTCCCATCAAGTCGTGGCGGAGCATTAGAGTAATGATGGAAAATCCAATAAAGAAATGCGCATACGGTGTTACCCCGTTACATACATATTATCCTGCGCGCTTTGAATAAAATTTACGCATCGGCGTCCACAGTAATGCGTGCCGTGTGTTAACCGTTCTGAACACAAAGTCGCTGCCGTACGTTCACACATATATATATATATATATACATATGTGTGTATGTATGTGTCTATGCACACACACGTGTGTATGTGCGTGCGTGAGTGAGTCGCTTTTAAGAATTAACCCGTACTATCACCAGACACGAGTATAATTGTAGAATGAACGAGGAAGGTTACGCACGCGTTACACGGAGAGAAAGAGGGGGAGAGAGAGAGAGAGAGAGAGAGAGAGAGAGAGAAAGAGAGAAAAGAAGGAGAAAGGGACCTTTCACTGGGTATCTATCTCACTCTTTTGCTTTCTCCCTCCCTCCCTCCCTCTTCCACCCCCTCTCTCTCTGTCTCTCTCTCTCTCTCTCTCTCTCTCTCTCGGGAGAGCGATCTCAATTTTATCTCGAAATTTACATCGCTCCGTTACGGGAATTTTATCCCTCGGAGTTGCGCGATGTGTTACGCCGGTCGGAAGATCTGAAAGAATCGACGTAGACCGTAATATCCCGTTATTTCCTCACAAACGACGAGCTTCGACTCTCCTCCTCCCCTCTCACCACCCCTCTTTTTCACCTTTCCTTTTCTTCCTTTCTATCTCTTACCAAGGGAAAACCGTACGCGAATCCGTTCGTCGTCGAGAAGAACGAACAATTACATTTGCGGAATCGCAAATCAGCCGATGAGATATCGCTCGTTCGGTGTTCTACGATAGCTCGTCTCGTCTCGTCTCGATTCGATTCAATTCGACTCGACTCGACTCGATTCTTATTCCGCTCGAAAATTCTGCCACTGCCGTCACCGTCGTCGCAGTCGCCGCGAGCGCACGGGGGCGGATAATTTGTTAAAGTTCCTGTACGGGGTGTCGCGGAGGTATGAGGGGAGAGAGAGAGAGTCGGGGGAAGGGGGGGCAGGGAAAGAGAAGCACGAAGAGGCGCATTTTTATTGTAGCGGGTGGCTGACGGCGCATCCAACTTCCGCTCGTCAGCGTGGACTCTGTTCAAACATTACCGACGTCGTCCAAGTTCGCGAGGAAAGCGGATGATTCGGCTCGTCGAACCGTGAACCTCCCTCTCGCGCCTTCCACCACCCGCTCCACCCCTTTAACCCAACCCAACCCATCCCATTCCGCCCTTCCCCTCCAACCCCGCGGGCCGCCCGGCCGGATCTGCGTGAAAGGGGCGAGATTTCCCTGCGGTTCGTTTCTTTTTTATTTTTTTCTTCTCTTTTCTTTATCCCGGTGCGAAAGGAAGCGGTACGCGATTTATAAGGATACCACCGCGAGAAGCGAGTTTGCCCGCGTAAACGCGAGAAAAGTTTACCCGCCCCTTCTCCTCTCCTCCATGGGGGTTTCTTTTTTCATCCTTTCTATGTTTCCTGTTTTTATTCCTCACGCTAGCGAATAACATTTTACACGAACTGGATGAAATGATGTAGTAATGGCGGTGGATCATCTCGTTTCGCGAATACGCGAAATAAAGCGGTGTTAAGAGATAATAGCAGAAGCACGACGGCAAAGCGAGAAGAAAGAAATTAGAATGTTGCAGACAGAATCAAATTTCGGAGATGGAAATCTGAATGTGGAAATCCTAAAATACACTGCTCAAAAGAATTATGGCATAGATAATTTATTGCCGAAAATTGGCCAACTTTGACTGACGATTACTTCGCAAAAAGTTATTGCAGATTACTGATTTTTTTCTCAAAATGAAGCTTGAAGTCTCTACTTTAAGAATGTATCTCCACTTCCACAGTAATTATTGACTGTGGAATGACGAACCACGGGGTCCTTATCTCTTCTGTCACGGACACACACACACACACATACACACATGCGTGCACATTTGGCCCGAAGGTCAAAAACAACGATATTTTTGAAGGGCTATAACTTTGCGAAAAAAAATTGTAGCGACTCCATTTTTTTTTTCCAATTGAAGGGGAAGATTTGAACTTTATGAAGATGCAAACGGCGTCCCCGAAAAAAAATTGTCCACGTCCGTGCATTCCGTCAAACTTTGCAATTTTCAGTATACCAAACATGCCTTCAGATGTCAGGGGTTACAGGAGTAGGGGTGCATCGCATGCAAAAAATGGAGATACATTCTTAAAGTAGGGACTTCAAGCTTCATTTTGAAAAAAATAATCATTAGTCTACAATAATTTTTCGCGAAGTAATCGTCAGTCAAAGTTCGCCAATTTTCGGCAATAAATTATCTATGCCATAATTCTTTTGAGCAGTGTACGTATATAGAGATTCGAAGAAGCGAGATATTGCGCGAGAAGCCGTGATACGGTTATTTTAACGTA